TTTTGGGATGCACTTGGTATAATCTTCATTAACTATCTCAAAAAGGGAAAACCATCAATAGTATCTACTACGCGGCATTACTGGATCGTTTGACAGCAGAAATTGTGAAAAAACTACTACTACTAACTATCGTAATTTAGCCAAATATCTCACAGCAAAACGAAAAAATCTTAATTATTAATTTTTAAGGAAAAATATAATCTAAATGTTCATCCGTCATTATAAATTCATAAAATTATTATAAAAATTAAGTGATGAGTGATGAGTTACTCTTTCGACTCAAAGAATGTATCTAAACTACCATTGATTCATGACAATGATGTTGAAGACAATAAGACGAAGACTCTAGGTACTAGAGTGGTTTGGCAGACACCTCAAAATGGCAACTTACTTTTTATAAAAGTACTAAGATGAATCACAAATATTTTCAATTCATTTGATTATTCATTTTATTTGCGATAATTATAATTCTCGACCAATTAAAAACAAAATTTTCCCCGGAATTATTTCTAAATCTTAATTCAGCCCCCCTGCAAGGACTCACTACGCCCTTGGATTTTAATTGTCTTGGAACGCGTATTAAAACAAACTTAACGCAATTTTAACAACGAAACCGCAACGGTAAGGCAGTGCTGCATTAAAAGCTCACTGAAAACCGAAGAACGGAATCAGGTTCTATTCATACGGTCTTTGTTGGAAAGTTTTCTGAAGCTTACACATATCGTAATAATACGGTATTTGTCTGTGTCGGCGGCTGAACAGTTCCCATAAAAAAGCTTGCAGTAGAGATCGAAACCCATTAGTAGTTTTTTGGCAATTCTTAGCATAAATTAACAAACGAATTTACAAAAAATAAATATTTATATAAAACTTCCAAATTTCGTTTATGTTGCTTGCAAAGCCTACTTATGAGTGACTGCAAATAGATTGTCAGTGACGGCAGTTATAATCAAAAGAGTCCGGATACACCGGATGCCACAATATAAAAGCTGTTTCGATTCACTTTTTTATTAAACCTTCATTCGCATATCCTATCTGATATCTGAGACTTGACAGAGTTCACCTTAACCTTACTTTACTCTTTCGCAGCTCAATTTTTCTGAATCTTTAAATAAAAAACAAAGACGCACATAACAGGGCTCCAGCCGCCGACATAGCTTTTGGAGACTATATTATCAAAGTTATTATCATCATAACCCAAAACTATCATATCGACCCGAACATAAGACGAAGAATTGACATCCCAACAGGTGTTACTATGGATTCATCAGAGTTCTGTGTGGAAGATGATTTTCTAATGTAATAGCGTTTGAAGCGGGATGAAGTGGGTGAAAGAAGATGCAAGGAAAGAGACCATACGGTGAAGGTTCAAGTTGCAGAAGTACTAACCTTGCTCAATGTAGACTGCTAGACTGCAGAAGCGCCCATGGAGCAAAGCCGTCAAGAGAGGAATGGTCACATTTTAAAATCAAGTTGTTGTCATCACCGCTAATGAATAAGAAATATTCATTGAGGTTTAAAATCAAATTAGATAATTGCTTCCTATGTCCATTTAAGTAACTCAGAGCAACAGTTTTCCTCTGAACTTTAGAAAGTTTCAAAATTCAGCTCTGTAAATAATCACATCCATAAAGCTATAAGAATTCCAAATAAGAAGTCTAGAAGATAAAGTCCTTGCCAGCATCGCTAAACAATAAACCGAACGCTAATTTCAATTTCAACCGACAGCTACGTATATAAATTTAAACAAGCCAATCTAAACTTCCTAACCGAATATTTGAATACTTATTTGGGGAAGATTTATAATTCAATTCCACGCAAGTAACATTACTTTAGAATGAGATGTCGGCTTTACCAACACCTCATCTATCTACAATGGCTATTGATGATATGTTTGTTCGAAGACTCGCACATTCAAAGTATCTCGAGTCGTTTAAGAGCTACTTTTTAGACTGTATAATAAACTTTACATGATTATTTCTGTGGAAGGTGTGGCAGAAGAGTGTATTTAACTTAAGAATATTATTAGCACACCGAAACTCAATAGTTTCGTTGACTACGACGCTATAACCATAAGAAAACCCACACTTACCTCAGGACCATGTCCCATCGTAACAAAAGAAAACCATTCAGAGTAACGTGTCAAAAGTAAAATTCAGGAACGTGTCCCCCTTGTATTAGATTGCCATGCGAATAAAGTTTAATGACTACTGTTCTCATTGTGAGTTAGAGCAGAGGACGGAAGAGAAAATGTTGCTTATCTGTTCTGTCCCTGCAAGGCATCCTTCAGAAGACGTCTATATCTTTCGCTTGTTAAAACGACTCAGTTTCCCGGATAAGAGTAGAGTTATCTTAAGTTCTTTAAGATTCTGTAAGGTTAGTGTGGCTTAAATTTTTCTGTGGTGACAAAAATGGACTATTTTTATTACTCTTATGTATTATTTGTGCATATATTCATGAATGGATTTTATATTTCATGTAATTACAATTATATTACTAAGAATATTTTCTGACTACTTAAAGATATGAAAATTTCGGTCCATGTGCGGACGTTTTTCTTCTCATGAGTAACAGGTAGATCGCGCAATATTCCATTAAAGATTTCGATTAGTGTTTCTCAATTAAAGGCTGTAGCTGTATAGGGAGGCAATTTGACTATTATATATTCTTATAATTCTATATAAATAAATTGGAGGATACAGATCGTGTGAACTTAGGGTTAGGCTTGTGAACGTCTTATATTAGCTATGATTAGTTACACCATAAGACCTAAAGACAGGTATTTCTATTAGGTGTATTTAGTTCATTTAACTAAAACAGAAAAACAACCATGAAGGTTCAATTAGTTGTCGAAGACAAAAAATAAAACAGCCGTTGAGGGGCCCGTAAGTCTATGGTGGGTCATGGTATGAAGAAAAAGTAGTAGACTACACCATTATTCTATTTTTATAAAAACACACAACTCGATTTTTTACTTAATCGTAAATTCAATAAAGTTTTATTTGTTCGAAATAATATTATTATTTTATATTAAATATTATTTGTTTAAATGGTTTTGTTTTATTTCATTCCGTTAACTTAAACATTTATATTATTCATTTTAAGTTTAATTAATGCATTTTGATTGAAATATTAATTGAAATTTCATATGAAAATAAAAAAATTCTCATTCATTATTTATTTTTCTTGTTTTTTTTATTAGTTTTATTAAATAAATACAATATTTTTTCGACATTTGTTAAGCTCGTAAAATAAAATAATTATTCAAATGCTTATGGCGGTACTTAGTTTAATATTAAAATTTTTTTCAAAAAATAAAACCGAAAAAAATGAAATACGCTTCGCATATGAAACTTGAATGGCGGAATTAACAATTACCAATAAGGCTCAGTTATGGAACTTCCAGTTGATTTCATATACTCAAGTGTTGTTGATTTTATCGCTCTCCTTTGAGTTCTCGATGTCCTCGACGTCCATATCCACGGTGTCACCGCTGAATAAGTGCCGCAGGCAATTGCGTTTCACATAGAGGAAGGCGCATAGCGCGCAGAGCAGGAACATGATGCAGACCGAGCTGCCGATGACTAATGCACGCATTTTACGATGTGTAACCACTTCGAAGGTCAAGACCTCACTGGGTATTTCCTCTCCATTTGCGGTGCTGACAATAACTTGAATTTGAAATGTGGCCTCTTCTTTGAGGTTCCGCAACTGATAGTAGTTGGAGAAGGTTTCAGCGGTGCCAATCAAAAAATGTTCAGGCTCCTTCCACCAGCGGACAATATAGAAACCCAAATGCTCTTGCCCGCGTTTTGGTTGCTCCCAATGCAGTAGCCAGCCTTGTGGGTTTTTGATTAAACTCAGATTCCAAGGTGCGCTTGGAGTGCTCGAAAGTTGATTGGTTTCATGTGGTGAATTTGAAAATTCCTCGGAAGCCTCAATGATCGATTCTATTGTGTAATGGAAAGTAAATGTTAAGAAATTTGAATATTCGTTTTTGTTGGTTTAATACTACACATTTTGTGTAACATTTTGTGTAAAAAGTATCCGGAATTTCAAAATAATTATTGTTACCATGAGTTTAATTTCTTATTCAGTTTTTTTTTGCATTTTACTTTTGAGTGTTCTGCGAGGACACAAACCCGTCCGTCACTGTGTCCAGAAGCTAAGATTACTACTCAAAGAAAACATGTCGAGTTAGTTGCGTTCGTTAAAGTAAATTTACTGAAATTATGGATGACTGGATCAAGCGCTTTAAATGCGACAAAATAAATTGCGATCGATTGATAATTTTTTTCTGTAAATCTTGAAAATTCCGAATACTTTGAACAATGAATGTATTTGTGTAAAGTAAGTACTATTGTATAAACTAAGTTTGACAAAGTTTTTTTTAACATAGTGAAGGAAGAATTGAATAAACTTAAAGAGACAAACCAATCAGATATAATCTTTCATTTTTAGGATAGAAAACAAGTTTACAGAGTGAGAGGGATCCTATTGTTTCACTGGACGGACTCGCAGGTAAGGCTAGTCTCAAGTACTTGCCCTCACCGAAAACAGGATCTCCATGCTTTTAGTGGTTAATCCGAGCCATAGCTGCACCGTTTCTATTGCTAAAATTCGCAACTGCAATTACTTTAAAAACTTGTCCCAATCTTTTCTCATTTCACACTTTTCACCATTTTCCCCATGTTGCTTATTGTGACAAAAAAAAATTGTGTCTTCAAAGCCCGTTAACTGATGGACTAAGCTATATTTGTATAGAGTGCCCTTGTGAAATCGTTGGATCTACGAAATTGTAATCGCGCCGTGAGATGTATCTTTCCATAAAGTTAAAACTTTTACTGTTTGATATCAGGTGAATGTAGGATTTAGTTGAGCTTAGGGGTGCACACAATTATCAATAGATGTCCTCAAAATAAAAACCATTTCTTATGAAGCCTCCGCTATATTTAAATGCGATGCATCTACTATATCTTTATCTACTAGGGATCTTATGTCAGAAAATTTAATGAAAATGTTGCAGAACTTCTTTTTTCTCTTCACGTTTTCATAGAAATTTGTAATTATTTTGTTATTCAGTAGATGGCACACGTAAATATATATTTTTTATTTTTATACACAGTATAGTACGTACCTTGCGTTGAAAATCGAAATTGCTTGCTGAACATTCCGTCACCGTATTGATCCTGACTGAGCACCATAAATTCATATTCGCGTCCGGGTACCAGATGTTGTATGGTAGCCTCCATGATATTCCTTTGTAAAATGCGCAAGGTGCGCCATTCTGGTGCATCCGTTAGACGATACCAGACCGTGTACTCCAAATTGGGACGCACATATCCTGCGTGTTGCATTGCGTTTTGGTTTCGGACACAAGCAGCCCAAATGGCCCGAGCAACAACATCGCCATGGTTTTCAACGTAGTCGGTCGAGTAGGCGTATAAGTGGGCAGACGGATTGGCACATGTACATGTAGGAATGGAGCAATAATTTATTAATATTTGCAATGTTATTTCTTCTGGGACTGAGTGAGTGCCAGCAGTTGAGTTTATTTTTGTGCGTAAGTAAAAATATTTTTACAAAATTTTTTCGATTGTGTTGCATTCAGAAATATAATAAACTAGAATGCTATTAATGAAGTGTTAATATTCATTTGTACTAAATTATTTAAAAGAATATTTAAATAATATATATGTTTTTCTACATGATGCTTAACTAAAAAGTTTATTCCTTATTTACTAGTTTTTCGTACTTGTGTATAGATGGGCCCATGGCAAGCATCGCATGCTAGGCTTTAGTCGCACTTACCTACTTTTGGATTCAAAACATGCAAACAAAAATCATCTGAAAATGCAGTTTTTACAATTTTTATTAATAAATTTCGTTACGATTTTATATAGAACATCAATGAAATATGTTGTGGTCCTGGAGTTAAGCTCTGATATGCCAGTTGGGATTTGTAGGTGTTTACATATAATCCAGAGAGTTTAACACGTTTATGGTACTGAGGTATTAGCAAATATGTTTTTATTTGTTAATTATGTGATAACTTGTTATGATATTATTTATTGTTAAAAGGTAATGATGAAGTTTCATCACGTCAGAACGCTTCCATCTCTTCGGGAGTATAGTTGTCATAAACGACGTAGATAAAATGAGCTTATAGAATGAAATGTGTGTTGTAGTTTCCAAAAAACGAATTGTATTATTTATAACAAACCGATGTTTTACAGTAAGGATCAAACCATACACCTATACGTCGTTAAGTGCCTTAAAAAGACTACATATTAATGGGTTCAAAACTATAAAATTTCGAAGTACAACGAAAATCTATAAAAGCAGGGGATTATTATTTGTCTAATTATATTTAAGTCTTATTATGCACTAGATTAAATTGTGCTTTGGAGTCATGCAAATTGCTCTTTTAGAGGGAAGAGTAAATAACCGAATCAGTTCTTTCTGGATACTAACAGTTGCGGTGATGACTATCAAACACTTTTCTGTTGGAATTCGGCTCTTAACAAAAAAATAATGACGACATTGGAATATTAATTGATGTAACATATTTCATGCCTACATTGTTTCTACCACGAAAACCACACTTTCTAAAATTGGCCAAAATATCTGAACCATTGATGCATCTGATTATAGATCCTATAACAATACTGTGATCTTAGACTGCCACAAAGGAGTACTTAAACGAATGTATCGGCTATTAATTAATGGAAACCGATGGTCACTTGTACCTATCCGCTTATTCTTTGTTAACATTATTTTCTGAACTTTTCGATCAGAATGTATATATGTGGCCATACAGTTCACTTGGACTACTACTATACTATCAACCAGATAAGACTCTTTGTAATATTTTCGTAGTTCTTCCCTGCACAAAAGACTCTCCCAAATCTGCATTGCATCTTTGTTTGTCTGATTTTGATAGAAAGGAGTGAACTTGTTTGTCCCTTCTCTGAAAAAGGAGTAATGAACGCTGTATTCGGCTGTATGCACATTGGACAGTTACAGGCATAGAAAATTTAATATTTTTTATAATAAAAAAATGTGGATAGCTATATGATTAAGTTATTTCTAATTTATGGAAGTATGAAAACATCATTATGGAAGTATGTAGACATATTGTCTGTTCTTGCGAGCACACACAACTACTCGTGTCTGTCGAAAAACTCATCAAAATTTAATGTCAAATTATTAGTTTCGTGTAAAGCACACCTGTGTGCATTGTTCTAAAATGCATTATTAAATTGAATCCGTAGTGAAATGTAATGTTTCAGAAGCCTGAACCTCATCAAAATGTAAACATCAAAAGCAAAATCCATTTGAATTGTTAGTTTGCGGAACACTGACGAAATGTCAGTACTTCAGTTCAGGCCCAAATCAGTCAGGCAATAGAAGCGCTTGACATTTGCAAATGGATAGTGCATTGAAATACCCATACATCGCATTGCAATACATCGTATCGCATCAGTCCATTGATCCATGGAACCCAGCCAACAGCCAACCGCCCTTCAGCCAGCAGTCAGGAGCCAGCAGTCAGGAGCCAGCATCCAGCAGCCACAGCTGCGCTCACGTACTCGCATTTCATATGCACACAAATATTTCAATAGTAAATGCTTTCAATGTTTTTAATTAAATGTAATTGATTTTGGAAATCCCTGTTAATAGGAAACTGCAGCAGCCACAACAACAATTGAGATGCTTCACTGTATTTGTTTAATTAAGAATTTATTTGCATCAAATTGAAATGCCTGTAATCTGATAAGAGACAATAAATTAATTTTAGCAAAACTGCCACAAGTCAAATGCTTCAAATGCTTCAAATGCTTCAAATGCTTCAAACGCTTCAAACGTTTCAAACGCTTCGAGTGCTTCAGGGTTGTCAAATGTTTTGTCGAGAAATTAAAAAGTAGTAATAAAATAGCAAAAAAACTAGGTACTAAGACATCTGTAATTGGTAAAAATCTAAAAAGAACAACTTGTCCTTCGGGTTAAGGAAGAATCGCCTTCAAGAACAAATATTATCGAATTAATTCAAGTCTTGTGCGGTGAAATTAAATATAAAAATTAATTGAATTCTGCGAGTTCGGTTTTGGAAACACCAAAAAGAATTAACGTTTTTCTTTATTTTTTCCATTATTGAACAAAACTAGGCATGAGTACATAAAGATTCTTATTAGGCCACAAGATTCACTTGGCTCAAGCTAGACAGGAAGCACACCAATCAGCTGTATCAGCTGGAATCCATTAAGTGTTACAATATCAATACTTGCAGGTCATTGCTTCATAGGTTGATATGTGATGAGACTTGGTCTACAATATAATAACTTGCCTTGTGTATATGGCTCTGAAGAGAAGAAGGAATACATGTTTCATTTTCTTTGTCAATGCCTAATAGAAGAGTGAAAATCTTTGAGTCTTTTTTCTTAACCGACCAGATACAGCTGTCACAGCTGTCTGTAAATTTAGTGACATACCTTCCATTAGAGCGATCTGATTAGCTTACTTTTACTCATATGCAGGGGTCGTGCTCAAATTGGATGCAAACTTTAAACCGAAAGACTTTTAAGACTTTTAAGACTTTTTAGTATAACTGAACCGAATTATTAACGACACCAAAATATTGCGAACTTGAAAATTCCGGAAGAAATTGTTGCTGCGAAGGCTTTGTAAACCGGACTTTACAAAAAACCAATGGTTCTGATTTCAACCGTTGGGCCGGTTGATTTGTTTATAAATTTGGCACAATATTATTATCTCAATACATCCGCATATTGGGGTGTTAAAGTATTCGTATATCTATTTAAATTTCACTTGTGTGACTAGTACGGATTCTACAATTTTAACTATATAATCTCTACGTGCTAAGTCCATCATTCACTAGTGTTTTGTTCAGTATCTATCCTAAAAGAAACGATGCAATAGAATTGGAAAAAAAGAGAACAACAAATCACGTGCTTGTAAAATATACGAGTTGCTGTCATATCCTCAGAAGTGTCTATCATAATCACTTTAATATATGGATGCTAGCATTTAATAATTACTATCACTTGATGCTTGACTAAAATGACAAAGAGAAAAAAATAGATGAATTAATCAAAACTGATACCGTCTATGCAAGGCGTGCGCCCCATAAATTTTGATGGTGGATGCTGCCTCAAATATATATGGGCATCATAATAGGTGCGTTCAGAATATAAACAAGTTTATAAGGCGTTTCTAGCAAATAGCTATAACGCTTAATACAGATATCATTTCACCAATCTTAACTTCAGTTGGAAGTAAACTCCACGTATGAGCATATGACCTTAGATAGGGATGTTGTATTTTTTGATGCTAAAGATGATAATTTAAGACAAAATAAGGGATAGTTCTACTGAACGTCTCAAACAATATAGCTAACGTATTAAAAATATGAATATGCAATTCATTCTGATATCACACTGGTATGCCGCACCCCTCTTCTTTATCGGTAAATCTTAAATACTTGGTTTGGACTGCAGTTTAGAGACTAATGACTTTCTAATGACTAATGTTCAACGCAGGGGGTAAGCACTTATTTTGTTGTTTGTAGGATTCGTGGTTAAAGTGGATCGATATTCTTTTAAGTTCCTCATAGTGATGGATGTTTACAGTCTATCTAGTGGTAACAAACCAAGAAATCTTTTGGTTGTTACAATTATTAAATTTATATGTAAAACACAGAATTATGATGTCATTTTGATTTTAGTAAGCTTTGAACTCAAAAAAATTGAGTTCAAATTATAAAAAAATTATGATATTAAAAACGTTAAACTAAAAACTTATTTTAATAATAAATTTTCAGTTTGTCTAAATCACATTTGAAATTCTACAGAATAATCCAAATTTTATAGCATGGCTGAATATATGCCGTACACTACAAACTATTCCTTCTACAGATACTTTGATAATGACTTGGTTGAGCCCATGAACACAACTTTTCATTATAACCACAAAGTCAACAAAATAGAGCAGAAACCAAAGGCTACGAAGGTTCCCTATGAAAATCGTGTACCAACTCTTGCTGACATGATGGGAGGATTTCCAAACATTGATGTGAACACATCGCCTAATATGAATAATTCGCAGATTTTTTTTGATCACAATGGAAATTATATTACTCCACATATGATGAACGCTCCAACTCCACCAATGACTGCACAAAACTACTCGCCGAGGTTAGTAACCAAGGAGCAGAATGTGAAACCATGTCGTATATACAACAGTGCGTCATACACAATAGTTGGAAACGGATGTACTGATAATAAGAACAAGAAAAAGCTACCCGTGGTAACGGATTGCTCAAGCAACCAAACTAAGAAGGCAAGTAATCTTTATTTTAAATGTATGGGATTCTTCAAAATTTTCATACATAACAATAATTGTAATAATAATAATAATAACAACATATGAATTGGCTTCTTTTAGAATCATAGAAAACCTATTGTGTCTTCTCGAAGTCGTGCTACTACCTACAGACGGAGGTGTTTCAGAAAACAACAGAAAAGCGAACCTAAGACAAGTACTTCGGGTAAAAGTGAGCAAAACAGTACTTTTGTAACTGTGAGCTATCCTACTCTCAACTTGGGTGGATCCATTTGCGCCGGAGAAACATTAAAGCATGTTCACAACTTTGTTCATACGGCGGGCAATCCTTGGTCAGAGCCATCACACGCAGGAAGTTCGTCCTTATCTTGTCCTTATTGCAATCGTTGCTATTGTCTCAACAATGCTATCTCGCATAATTCGCTTGGTTCTACATGTTATATGCCTGCCAGTAAGCCTGAATGGAGATGGTAAAACCTGGAAGTCGTTTATAGTTGAGATTGTGCTAATATAGAAAAGGCGGCAGACGTCATAGGATTTCATTGTTTTGGCATACGTTTTAGCCATGCATACACAATTTTTGGCATACGTTTAAGGAAGAGAATGATAGAGTCAAAAACAAATTCTTTTTCTTATTGTGTACTATATAATGTATGAATCTTATATGTTCAAATTGATATAAGATACATATATTATATATTATATGACGAGATATAGACAAATAAACACTTAACGGGTTTGGTATTTTCTTCCTCAAGTCGAAAAGTATTTCATTTGAAAATTTTGAGTAGACATATTTAGAGTTAAGTAGAATTAGGAAAATTGTTGGTTCTACAAGTATTTTATATACTTCTAAATATCGGTTATAAAGGCTTTTCAAACTACAAGTGTCAAAAAGTGAATAATATAATTTAAATACTGGTGTTGTTATTTCTATTATTCTCGGTATATGGTACATTAGGACGAGTGACCTCATAAAGGATAGAGCCCTGAAATTATTTGCGAAAACTGACAGACTTACCAACACCGCGTTATCAAATCTCAAAATGGTTACAGGCTCCTTGGGGAGGTATGCAGATCTGAGGTCAATTATTGCTTAGTCTGATGAAGTGATAAACAATAATCTAGTTAAGTTGTAAAGAGGGGTTTTGAAAATACCTCGAGTTAAAAAAGAGTATAAGTGCTTAAGTGCACTATCTCAAAACAGCTTCAACATAATAATAGAATGTATTATATACAAATCTATATATGTAAATACGAGGGTTGTCGGAAAAGACTGACGTCTGACTTTGATTTGTATTAGGAGAAGAATACTGAGCTGGGAGCTTTTTCCTCCATCTGACATTAACCAATCTTCAATATTGTCTTGTTTTCAATCAGGGTCTATTCATTGTAGTACTTCGTTTCTTTGCGATTCAGTTTCATTCCAATTTTTTTTTCAATTTCAGTTCTCTTCCATTTTAGTGTAATTATAACCGATTTATTAACAGTTATCGTTTATAACCAGAAATGCTTCCACATTAGGCAAACTGTAGAAGTGAACTATTCTATTATTACAGGAACTCTTTATATGGATTATTGATTTCATAAAAAAACATTTTGAAGATTAATGGAGGAAACATTCGTTTCAGTAAACATTTAAACATCTATTCCAACTAAAAGTCAAATTTATTAACTACAACATCGCAAAATCGGAATTTATTTACATGCAATCCAAAGGTAATGCTAATAATAGCCTATTTTAATATTGATTGCAACTATTTTTTCAAGACCCCATCAAACCCTTTCAGAGGTCATAGGGTAATTACACGTGAACAAGACTCGAAGTTGTGAACAGTTCGGCTTGGCTCACATGCAAGGGCAGGGTTGGCACATCAAGTGGACTGAAGCAAAAGTTCAAAAAGTTCGGAATGCATTTGAAGTCGGCTTAAATCATGGAAGTACCAATCATAAATCGAAAATGCAAAAATGTTTATTACGTTCCAATTCGTTTCAATCAAAATTGAAGTTTATTTAGGTTATGTAAATATTTTTGCAATATTTTTATTTATTTCGCTTTTTTACGAATATAAAAAATAAATTAAAAGGCAGATTTGCGAGTGCTCATGCTCGCATGTTGGTTGGGCAATGTGTGTGTGTGTTCAAGGCAGAAACAAATACCAGGTCCATTAGGACGAACGCGTCTCTGTGGTTGTATGAAAATTAAAGCTGTGAAATGTGAAAAACTCAAAAAAATGTGACGTGAGAGGGAATGGATGGAAGGGATGGATGAGCGTACACTTACAAAGGTAAAGTGCTCGTGGGTGTGGTCATAAGGCTTACTTACATATGCAATGTATCCAATATTATGTTCACGTTTTTGGCGCCAAAAACTGAATCAGCAAAATTTTAGAACATTAAAGTTTGCATAGTAAGCAGCTTAGGATATAATAACCTAAACATTAACATAAATATGTACAGCAAATACTAAATAACATCAACAACAACAACACCAACAACTATAACAACAACGACGACTAGCAACAGCAACAATAACGAAATAATTGACGGTAAGCATAAAATACTCCTCTACGAGTCCGTATACCTATAGGTACTCCTACTCATGTATCCATCAAAATTTGCACTGCTGACATGTAAGGCTAATGCGGAAGCTCATATAAAATGTAAACTACACACGAACTTCACTGTTACTTAAAAATAATAACTAAAATAATTATGTTAATGATTATTATTATACATGAACATAAACATAATGATGAGGATGTGATATGTGATATGTGAAATGCGATGTGCGATGTGCGTGTGTGATAGGCACGATAATGGCCAGAGTTACAACGAAAACATGAGCGCCACAGTGTACCTTAATTATGTGCTGTGTTAACTCAATGCTTTGGGAGTATTCAGCAACAACAGTGCAACACTTACACATGGACACTTACACACATGCACACAATTAAAACTTTTAGTAGAGGCAAGTAAAGCAAAGCACTATAGTACACGTATATGATGTGGGTGTAGAGCTATGTGCATGCTAATGGTATATAAATGTGAACACTCACCTGGTTGCCAACGTATTGTTATGGCAGTTTCGGTGCTGTTCGCTGTAAGGTTGTAAGGGGGACGCGGGGCAATGTTTTCAATCATCAATTCGGTTTCCGTCGTTATGGTTGCCGCCTCATTGGTCGCCGAACACTCGTACATGCCACGATCGGATTCAATTAGATTTGTTATTGTCAAATTGCCGCCACTAACTGTATGTCTACTAACCGAGAGTGGTGAACCGTCCTTCTGTTGGGGTTTTCATTTCAATGATTGCGATTCAAGTAACGAGCCGATAGATGAAGGTTCCAAAGAAAAATATGGAGAATTCAGAGAAACTTTACTTCAAATGTCAAAGACAAATTTTGATTGAAATAGAAAAGTAACATATATTTGAAGATGTAACATATACGAGTAATTCTCTTATAAACAGAAAATGGATTATCTGAGGAAGGCCTTTATTTGAAATATGATGCAATAAAAAAACACGGACGGATTGTTTGGTAAATAATATTTGCTGTATTAACCGCTATTTTTCTGTAGAAATTGCGGTATATGGAAGTATTGATCAGCACACGGAAGTATAGCATATTAAAAGGTACAGTGGTACCGTTGCTTGTAAAATCTATTCGGGATTTAGGTGCTGTGCAGCTTTCGAACCCTAATAGCTATACATAAACTGTCACAATGTCTTTTAAGCAGATTGCTTAAAATGGTAGCTGTATAAAGCATCTGCATTCAGAAATTTCAGGAAAGAAGTAACTTAATCAGTTAGCCATTAAGGCCTGTAATCGGGTTTCAGCCTAACGCAGTACCTCTCTTCAGGCGCCACTGCTGCTTGTGCGTCTTCTCAAAATATTTAACGAAAAATCTTTTTAGTTTGGAAAACTGTCGATGCTGCTTCTTCATTCTGTGTCAACGTTTATGTTTCTGCGCTATATAGAAGTATAGGTAGCATGAGCGACTTATAGAGTGTAAGTTTTGTTGATCGATAGAGACGCTATACGTCCCAATTGCCTATTGAGCTTATAGTAGCTTTTATTAGCAAAGTTAATTATCTCATTTTCAGGTTAACATCGTTGTTGTTCGTTACGACGGTGCCAATATAGATGATATCTTTGACGTAATCGAAAACATAACCACCATCCACCAGCTCGGGGTCCAAACGACGCAGATTTCTATCAATAGCTGACATATAATTCGTTATATGTCATTCACCATTAAGCCGCTTTTCGCATATTCCTTTTCAATAACAGCATAGGCAACAGTAACATTGGGCTTGCTACGCCCGATGTTGTCGATGTCATAGGCGTAAGGACGGAGTACGGAGTTGGACACATTTGTAAGTTGTGCTATTACAATTTCGACGATGACAAAATTCAAGAACTTACATGATAACGGATATCCTTGTCAGAAGCCTCATACTATTTAAAAAGGTTTGGAGAGAATCGATTCTACCTTGATGGAGCTACAAGCTTTAATTGAGGTCATTTTGTAGAGTCGTGTTAACTTTACAAGTATACGGAGCTCAGTTGCTTCATAATCGATAAAAAGATGGATGGTGAGCGTCGATAATAGGTTTGTGGGCTTTCTTAGGGATTGCTCACTTTGTGAATATCAGGTTATTGGTGGAACGACCGATTTAAAAACCGTAATAATAAAGCTCACTCACAGTACAGTTATCCTGCGATAGTTTTTGCAAATTGTTGGGTTGTCTTTTTCAAGTTAAGACACAGTGTACTAAGATTTTAATTGTTAAGTATTCTTTAATTATATTCTGGAGACGAGCGGTTTCCAGCAGGGGCTGTGGTGCATGTCCTGTCAAAACAGAACACTTGCGCCTGCTGCCTTGTTATTGAGTTATCAGGCATCACAATAGAGAGTAGATATTCCTAAAATGATGGAAGCATGTATAATGTACGATGCGCGAAGTATTTACTCAATTTCTATTGAGGTTCATGTTAGTATTCCGCCATGTTTGTAATGTTTTTTAAAATTTCAAATTAATTTCAATTTTGTGGGTTTCCACTGCAAGTTCAATTCATTATTAAATTACTATGATAATTGAAACTTTTCAAATGTACTCCAATACAATATTTGGTATTGTTCTGAGAACTACTGGGCTGAGGCCATAGAAATACATTCATGATGGGGTAAGTTAACGATTACAGTTTAGTTTGTTCCACACATTTACATTAGTGCTCTTAGCATAAATTAGTTTGCGTTGAAATTGATGACATTAAACTGCTGAGGCGCACACTTTCAGATACACAAGCGACTACCTGAAGTCATGCATAAAAATGCAAATCATCGCACTGCGTTATGTGCGTTGTGTGCGTCATGTGCGTTGTGTGGTCATCGAACAGCAAAAGCAGCATCATTAAATGTGCATCAAGTAATCAATCACGTTTGTAACCAAAACTGCTCATGACCGACCTGGTCATGACCAAAGAATCACGCACTGGCACACATATACGTCGGTGCAAAGGACAATATGCCATTCTTGCTGTATGTATATGTCTATGGATTTGTGTACCAACGAATGCACACACGCTCAAGTACATATCGCATCATGGCACAGTACGCGTGCACACACTTAATGACACTTTATAATTTATGTGGTTACCTTACGAAACGTGCGCGCCAGCAATACGCCCCACAGTGGTTGGCTCTTGGTTTTCAAATGCTAGCAGCCCCAGTCCATACTGCATACCCTGTCCACACTGCAGCCTCAACATCGGCCCATATTATTACGTATAGCGAATTTGAATATATGAATTTGCCAACTTTATTGGCATTTTTGGCAAGAACTTAAAATTCAGCAAGATTATGAGAAACAATGAAAATGAAATGAAAACAAAAATAAAAATAAAAATGAAAATGAAAACAAAAACGAAAACGAAAACGAAAATGAACAAAAGGAAATGCAAAGCGAAATTGTAGAGAGCTCACCCGTTTCCATTCAATTGTTGGACGATTGTTTCCGTCTCGGTCGATAGCTTCGCATGGTAGTTCAGCAGTTTCGCCCAATTTTTGTATGTAAATCGCCTTCGGTGTTACGCTGAATATTGGCGGGCGCAATACAATTACACTAATTACGGGCGATGGACCATCAGTGCCTAGATCATTGAATGGTGTACACGTATAGCTGCCGGCGTGGTTCTCGTCCACTTTCGCAAAGAATAGACTGCCGTTCATTTTGTAAAAAACGCCCTGCACGCACACACAAACAGCAGAAATGAAATTTAATTATTCGTTTATGAAAATAAAAAATAATTTATTTTTTCTTATTATTCTTGTGAATAAAAAATTTAATTTTAATTTTTTTTTAATTTATATCGAAATATTTTTTAGCTATTTTCCTTTTGTTTGCGCTTTATTTTGAACACAAATTCTTTGCATACGTACGGGCACGTTATACGAATCGAAAAGTAAGCCATCCTTCTCCCATCTTAAATTCTTCAATGGTGGATTCGCGCGAAAATGGCAATCGAGCACCGCAGGCTGACCATATGGCAGATACACTTCTGGCGGTGCATAAATCACTTTGGCCTTATCTGCGAAAACAACGGTGACAAAAGGGTCAATAAATGTACTTGTTACGTGTATACCATACATTCATATCGATATATATGCAATCATATGCAAACACACACACACACATAGTGTTACATACATATTAACTACATCTCAACTCCCACTTACAATACTTATGCAAATAAACACACTCTCACGCCGTCACGCCGTCACGCCCTCACGCCCTCATGCTTACACAAAAGCACATAACGCACACATACATACATAAGTTGAAACTCACAAGTACGTGCGCTACTGCATGTATGCGAGCTTAAATGTAAATGTGTGCAGAAGGCACTTAAATTAACTTACATTGTATGTTGAGAAAAGCCTTGGCCGTTTGTATTTCGCCCTCATTATTGCGTACATTGCACACATATTCACCCAAGTCACTCATCATGGTGGGATCAATGCTGAGGCTGCCATCTGGACCCATATATGAGCGCCGCACCAAGTCCTGTACGTCTTGCAGCAGCACTCCGTCTTTGTACCATGAGGCGGTTGACGTTTCTGGATATTTCATGACGCAATGGAAAAAAGCTGTTTGACCCTCCATAATCGTTTGATTCACTGGCGGTATCTTAATAAGTGAACCACCTGCAATAAGCATTTAAGTTGAATTCAGACGTATGAAGTGTATTGTGGAGCGAAGTGTAGTGAAGTACAATGTATGGCAGTGCTGACCATGATAAAGGCGATAAGAAGGTATACGGACACAAAGGATAGGAAGATAAAAAAGTGCAGAATGATATTTCAATTCTTATTTAGTGCTTGTGGTTGTTGTGCTGTCGTCCAGCACTGTCTAGCGATATAAGGACTTATGCGAGTTGGCTTACCTTGCACGGTTAAATGATAGAATGTGCCATTATTCCGTATGCTCGGTGTGCGATTGGTAAAAATAATTTGGCAGTGATATGAGCCTTGGTCCGATTCACGTATTGCTGTAAGATTTGCTGATGCTTTTCCGTATTCATTATTATTGGTCACTAGATTTAAACGTCCAATGAATAGTTCGCTTGTGTTAGTTACGCCGTCGTACCAAGTAAAAATGCGTTTACTCTGTAAATAAAATTGTAAGAAAAATTATGACTAAGCATATATAGGAGAAAAAAGTTCTGCATATATATATATATGCATACATATATGGGGAATTATTACCCATATAGGAAGAAACATTATTTACTTACTTTTTATGATTACCTATTTGGTAATTATAATTTTTAGTTGGTTCTCTATAATACAGATAGGCAAAATGCATAAATATATAACTTCAAGCAATCACCAGACACATTCTTTATGAATGCCCGACCGATATATTGCAAAACTGCAACGTTTACATAGTCGATAATACTCACAAATTAAATAAAATGCGCACAGTCTTTCATCTGCATGAATGCCATGTAATGCAGATACTCATGTGACAAATGGTCCTAAAAACTTGGAAATGGATCTGGAAAGTATGTTGGCTTAAAATTAATTTTTTCAAAAAAAACCGATTATACATCCGCTTCTCTAAAGCGATCTACCAACTGCTTTTTTCAACAAAATTCAAAAAATTTTCTATAGCTTATGGGTGATAACAAATATGTTAGTGTGTTGTTTTCAGATATTATGGTTTTTTTTTATTAATTACATAATTATTATTTCGACCTATATTTCAACAAAATTTGATTTTACCTGGATTGAGTGTAACACTAAAATTGCGAAAGAGAAGCATTCATTTTGTAAAGTAAATTTATTTTGAGACTTTGTTTCTCGGGCAGTATTGAAAATGTAACCCCGTGTTTTATATCATATCCTTAGTTGCTTGGACCAGGGAATAATTTCTGTAATTCATGCTATTTATTTAGGAAGCACACAGTGCACATATACATATAATAACATAATTCCTAACGGTGCCAAGCAATTGCGACAATGTCATATAGGAACATAACGCTGAGTGTTTCTAACTGAGTGTTGATCTTAGTATTGGTTAAATGAAATTCTATTGAAATATAGGGCGAAATTATGATTACAGTCAATCTTCCATAACTCTAACTGCTATAACTCGAATTTTCTATAACTCGAACTAAAAAGAGTGCAATAGAGTTTTGGAGAGCAAATTATATACAATTCTGCCGCGTGGGAGATATTTCTCTTGTTAATGTTGTGCTACAAGTGCGTAACTTTATTTCTTACTTGACATAGCATTAATCGTAAGATAAAAAATTCGATTGCGGAAACTTTGAACTAAAATAGAACAAAGTCAAATAAATGATGTATTCCAATTCTAGAAAAAAATAGTTATAATCGAACGAAATTTCAATAACAAATTGTGGTTTCATGACCATAATTGCGGTACCTTGCCTATTGATATAATTTACATTAATTTTAACAGATTTATTTACTTGCACTTGACACAATCGAATGGATTTAGACGGAAGTATTTCAGATTTGGAAGTTTATTTTGCTGGCTACAGTAGGTATTTATACCATTTAACGATTTTTAAAAATGCATCCAAGTTCTTCCAATCTCATTGTTATAATGTATGTACATTCTCTTTCACTACCGGGTTTAACAATCATTTTTCAAAATGAATATTTTCCATTGCATTAAAGATTTTCCAAATAATTTCTCGTAATTCGGTTCCCACTGATCTATTGATCATCGAAGGCATAAGTTCTCTACAGATACATAGATGCAAATATTCTTTCAAGATAAAAAACAGAAAAAATCAATAAATTATTACTTATTTATTTATATGGACGTCCTTAAAATGTACTTGAATGGCCAGATAGCAATATAAATAACATATATGAAACAGACGTCTTCTTTCAGTCTGTTATTTGAATGACATTAACAAATCTTTCTTTATTGTATTATATAGATCAAGTAAATGATTGTTGTGTTAGATCAAGTAAATGAATATTTTTTTTGCTTTATGTGACAATGAATGAAACCTGAGACTAGTACTGCACTGCTAAGTAAAATCCCAAGTCAGCTGATTAAAGAGCAACTGGCGGGAACCATCCAGAGCGACAAGAAACGTAAAAGATTGCTAGTAGTGCCTAGGCGTCCATATTTTGGAGGTATGTATTATTTTAGATTAATTACTTTCGAAAACGAAGAACAATAATTAGTGAATATTACTTATAAATGTACATAGAATTATTGTAGATGATTGCGAATGAAATGATCCAGCATGACGAAAATAAACTCAATCGCACTAATAATAAAGTTGCTTGAATTGCGTTCTGTTCTCCAAATCTGATTTGCAGTGAGTACAATTTCTTGGTAGATAAGTCCTAAAACCTTTTTCTTGAGTTGATGTTAATCCAATAATACTAAAGCTATACGTCAGCGCTGGAATAGCTTGGTTTGTATGGTTTTTACCAGATTCTTAGTTTTCAACTTATTTCTTGTAATTTTGTCAAGTTTTGATGTCTATTGATTTTTTAAGGTCTACTATATTTTGCACCATGGCAAGGATAGACATCATAATCATCCTTGTTTGATATGTTTTCAACTTCGGATTTTTGTGGTTTTTTTTTTCTAATATGTATCAGTATCAACATATGTACAATGCTACTTGGTCATTCAAGAAGAATTTTAAAGTGGATGACTAATAATTTTTTGATTGTCGTGTGTTTTCATCCTAAAACCATTTCAATAACCATTTAGTAAGGGTCCACTTAATATGGATCCCAGAACACAGCAGAATTGAGGGTATTACCAGACGCGATAGCTGCAGACTTTGTTGCGAAGAAAAGGAAACATCAGAACACATTCCGTATCACTGAATATAGTGATAGTCTCGTCAGACTCAGACTCAGATATTTATCCACTGTCTATACGCTTATAACGCAACTAGGCAACATCTCTCCAAAGGACAAAATGGCGTTCTTAACTGCTACTCGTCTATGCAACTAAAGTGGGTGTGTCACAATAATCCTCAAATGATATCCAAGTAACTTCAAGATACTCTTATGATGCAAAGGCTTGGAGGAAATATAAAAATCATTTAGCTTATATTTTTTTGCACAATTAAAACAACAGCAACAACAGGAACAACAACAAAAGAACGAAAGAAAAAACAACACAAGTTTATACAATTGCAAATTGTGTTGATGTAAGGACAAAAGGAAACACACACTAACACACACAACTATAACTGCAAGAGTGAATAGAAATGATGTTTCGGCCACAAATTTGGAAACAAATACAAAAGGGAATGGAAATGGAAAATCGTTAATAGTTAATAGTTAATACCGAAATACGAAATATGCGGAACGAACGGAATGAACGGAACAAAATCGAATGAAATGAATTAATTGCCCAAATAAAATGTTGAAATGTTGAATGCCACAAAAGCTGAGGTAGCCTCTGTTCATAAATTGCTAATAAGATCATAATTACAATTACAAATACAATTAAAATTACAATTACAATTAAAATTTCAATACAATTGCAGCGGCACAGATTCATGCGAGTAATTTTAACGTCATAAATCAAATTAGCAAAATGGATTTAGTTCAATGGACACAACAATCACTGGCAATGCCAATGCAAACCGTACTGAACCCACCCAACAGAATTATCCATACACATACATGCACATATATGCCCATACATACACACGCGAACATGCATTGTGTAAAATATGCTGCCGACTGCGCTGTCAGCAAAGACATTCAAAGTAACAAAATTACAAGGCAAAATGTACGCAACAAATAATTGCAGTCGCAGCAATAAAAACACTCGCAGCACTGGCGGTAGTGTCAGCTTTTTCTGCATGTTCTCTGCTTTGCTTTGTTTTTCTTTACGATTTTCACGGAATATTGTGTGTGTGTGTGTGTGTGTGTGTGAAACGAAAAGCCAAAGCGCTGATTCATACATGCGAGTTTTCATATTGCTGCGGTTGCCATGTGTGTGTGTATTCACGTACACACATACGCATTCGCATTCGCATTCGGATTGAAATTATTTACTCAATCGCCCGCTGATTTTGACATTCAAAACCCTTAAAAATATAAACGTGTACATGGCGCTGCTGTTCCGTTCCATAAAGCCGTGCACAGTGCTTTGCTAAGTCTCGTTGCATTCAGAAATCGTAACAGGCAATTGCAACAAATGGGAAACACAAACAAACAAACAAACAAACAAACAAACCAAGAAGATGTGTCTGCACTTGCGTTTTTGTATTGCTTTATTTACGTTCCTGTTTATTTTTTTTGGTTTTTTGTTTTTTTGTTTGCTTTTGATATGTTAACAGTAGTTCCACACTTAAGCTGCACTCTGGTATTTATTTCTGTTACAAATTTAACAAATCAGCTGAGCTCATGCGGTGTTCGTCGTCATTCCTGCTTCTGCTGCTGCCAATGCTAGTGTTGTGCTTTTAGTTGTTGCTGTTGTTGTTGTTGTTGTTGCACTTCTGTTCACCTTTTTGGGTTTGTGTGGTTGTGTAATTATTGTGTTTGATTCTGACAGAGAAAAGTGTGAGTGTCAGTGTCAGTGTCAGTGTCATAGTCATAGTCATAGTCATAGTCAGAGTCAGAACATTTGACAAATGTCGAAAATTTGTCAATTAAATAAGTGAATTCGTAAGTAATTTCGTTAAAAATTTTCATAAATTGACAGATTAGTTGCAGCAAAAAGGTGAAATATTGCACAATTGGCAATTCTGCATTACGGCATAACGGCATAATGGCATTAAGGCAATTCGACAATATGGCAACATAGCAAACACGGTGCCCCGTGTGGCAATAAAATGTTAAGGGAGCACATAAAATCGCAACACATATTTCTGCAAAATGTTGCGAAATGTCCGTGTTTCTGAAAGTTTCGGTTAAAAACTTAAATTTGATTTATATTCCGTCGCTGGAGAACGGCTCCCAGCCGGGAGCCGGGAGCTGGGAGGTAGGTGGCGGAGGACAGAAAACTATTATTATTACAATAGGTACAGGCGGCACTGTTGCCAACATAAAACGTGAGAAAATCGTTTGAACTCAATGAATGCACTCGAACTTTGTTAAATGGTGTCGGGAGGGAGGGGTTTGATTTCTGCTACAGGATATCATAAACTAGAAATTCGATTCATTTTTTCAGGATGTCGAACTTTATGAAGACTGCAACTGATGTATGCCGAAATAAATGCAATATAAAATGCTTGCACTAATATATTTTTAAAAATATTCGC